ATATTTAAATCGAAGACAGGGCTTTGGATTGGCACAAAAATTGGAAGAACAAATTAAAGGGGAGCGTGAATACGGACAAAATGGCTTGCAGCGTGTTATAGCTGATGTTCAAACATTAGTTCAACGTGGTCTGCCTTTCCGGGGATCAAATGACACATTTGGATCATTGCAGAATGGAAATTTCTTGGAATTGTTGGAGCTTGTGGCTCAGTCTGACCCATTTTTAGCAGGCCAGATCTCAAAATATGGGAATGCTGGCAAAGGTAACCCATCATACTTATCCAAGACAATATGTGATGAACTCATTGGTCTAATGAGTGACAAAGTTCGTTCAGCTATTGTGGATGAAATAAGTACTGCTGGGTACTTCAGTTTGTCTGTCGAATCTACACCTGATCTTTCACCTATTGATCAATTGAGTAGTGTACTAAGATGTGTCTCCCCTACAGATGGAAAACCAGTTGAACGATTTATAACATTCCTCAATTTGAAAAACCACACTGGTGATGAAATGGCAAATCAAGTATTGCCTTATCTGTGCCAAGTTTGCAAAATAGATTTCTTAAAGTGCAGAGGTCAGTCTAATGCCAAAGCTGCCAACACGTCAGGGCGTTATCAAGGAATGCAGAAGAAGCTTTTAGAACAGAACAAATGCACCATACTCATACCATGTGCTGCTCTCTCTCAATCTTGCTGGCCGCGGCGCTGTTGATCATTGTCCAGCGGCAGTAAGTTTTTTCTCAACAGTCCGGTTACTTTATACATTTTCTCTGCCTCAACACACCGATGGGCAGTCCTTAAAACATACTTGGGCAATGATTGTGTGTTGAAATCTCTTTCTAATACTCGCTGGGAGGCACGCGCAGTGGCAACAAGTGCAATTCTGGAGTCCTACTCAAAGATTGTGGATGCATTAGAAAGTACAGCTGAAGACCAATCACAAAAGGGAGAAACTGTACGAGAGGCAGAAAACATTGCAAACAAGATGCAAGAACTAGAGTTTGTATTCACGTTGACCATGTGGAATGAAATTTTACAACACTTTGACCACACAAGTCAAGCTCTCCCAGAGAAAGAATTGGATTTGAAAACGTGTGCAGACCTCTGTCAATCATTAGCAGACCAATTATACACTTTGAGGAATGATGTCGAAAGATTTGAAGACATATCAAGATATCTTGCCTGATACTAACTAAAAAGAAGCCCAGTCCTGCAAGCGAATCAGGAAAAAACAAGCAAATGATAGCAGTGTATCAGAAACAGCATTGAATCCTAGAGACAAATTTCTCGTATCTACTTACTACGCTATAATTGATACACGTGAAGTTCAGATGAAGAGGAGAGGTGAAGTGTACAACGAAGTATCAAGTAGATTTTCTTTTCTAAATGATATGGACTTATCTGACGAACAATATTCACAAGGTTCCCAAAAGCTCGTTGACTCAGATCCTGTTGACTTGAACATGAATCCCTGTGGAGAAGTACGGCAGTTCCACTGTTATATGCGCGCAACGTTTAATGAAACAGGAAAAATGAAATTCAGTCACATTCATCTTCATGACACAATACTGAAAGAGCGAATACAAAGTGTATTTCCAAATGTAGAGATCACACGACGTGTTTTTCTACCATTGATGATTACTAACTGCTCTGCAGAACGCTCTTTTTCTCAGCTGAAAAGAATAAAAAACCCTCAGAGAACAACAGTGTGTCAGGACAGACTTGATTCACTTTCCCTATTGTGTATGGAAGCGGACATGCTTTGTCGAGTCAGCTTCGATGAGCTTATCCAGAATTTTGCAATCAGAAAATCTAGAAAGAAGCTCTTTTCATTTCAGCATACATGTAAGTTTTGTGTCATTTCAAAAAATAAAATTTTATTTTATGGTATAGTATTGTTTTTATTTGAGTTACATATGGGGGGGCACCATAATCTTTTCCGTGCTTAGGGCCTCTAAAGGTCTTAATCTGGCCCTGGGGGCCAACATAGCCACTGCTATCTTTAGCGAAGCATAGACAGCATGGGGAGGTTGGCATGTGAGTTACCCCTTTCCTCACTGCAGTCTCTGCCTAGGTATGTGTACCTGCCCCAACACCACCACATCTGAGCCCTATGCACCAGATGGGCTGATCGGTGCAGGGACAGACTTACCTTCAAGTCAGATTAGAGCGCGGTAACCTGGCTCCGTGTTGTTACTGCCCCCCCCCATTGCCTTCCCAACCATACCGGCTTCGTTGGCTGACAAAAACAATTGTTTAGTACTACACCCCTGGCAGGAACGGGGAGATTCATTTCCGGATCACATAAGAAATTGAGCCAGCAAGGACGATTAATGACATGTAAAGAGCTGACATGTGTGTGTCTGTTGTGTAAACATATCAACATGCATATCTATACACCCAAATATATTGAACTGCATATATAGTGATGAGTATATGCATAGACATATGGGGGACTCCTTCATGCTTACTGTGACTGTACCATTGATTTGGGGGCTGGGGGGCACTGATGTTTTAGGGGGACAGGGTGCAGAAAATAGGGTGACCAGATGTCCTGATTTTATAGGGACAGTCTCAATATTTGGGGCTATTACCCCCCAGCCCCATCCCGATTTTTCACCCTTGCTGTCTGGTCACCCTAAGAAGGAAAGGAGCAGGCATACACTCCAGTGACCTAGTGTATCACTTCTTTTCTCTCCCACCCTTCCCTTTGGCCTGTCTTCAGCTCCCTCGTGCCACCTCGTGGAAACAAGGCAGCACTGTAGGGAAACAGGAGCCCTGAAACTTGTATCAGGTTTGCTGACACTCACGGATTCAGTGCTGTTGTTGAGGGGAAACCTGGCAGAACATGGTGGAATGTACAGCCACTCATGCCAACAAGGACTGGCTGCAGCTGGGGAAGCGGTGCATGAAACTACAAGCACCCCCTATCTACCTTCCCAATGCAGGAGTGAGACTTGAACTCAGGCCCTGCTCCAAAAGATGGAGCCCCCACCCACTTGTGCTAAAGGAAAATCCCCATCATCGCGCACCAGGGCACAGATCCTCTTTGTAGGTTGCAGCCCCTAGAGGGCGGCAGAGTCGCAGGCCGTGAGCAAGTCAGACATTCCACCCCATAGGGGGCAGAGGGACAGACACGCTGCTGTACAGAGAAGCGAACTTGCAAAATCTTTAATATTATTGTGAATCATCCGTCGCTGAGTCTCCATCCTCCCTCAATAGACTGAGGGAGAAGGGGTGGCTGGGCACACTTGTGCTACCTCAGCCTCAGGACTGATTGTGGTTAGATTTTCGCAGCGGGTGGAGTATCCAAGGCACAGCGTCCTTGTGCGGGAAGAGAACTTCCCCATCGGTTGCCTTTGCGTCATCCTGTGGCTGCCCCTTTCCACGGCAATTCCTTGCGAACAACCTTTAACCGGCCTCCCCTCCTTCCTCTACAGCACAGGAAATGCTGCCAAGTGAAGCTAACCTGGCATTCTGCTCCCAAAGCATCCACCTTCTTGTTCCTCTTCGCCCAGAGCATTCAGTGATTGGCCAGCTCCTGGGAACTGCCCCACTCCTTACCCACGGCGGGACCATCACCACATGGCTGCGAGCATTTAAAGGTTCAAACCATTTCATTATTTAACTAAAGCCAAAGACCCTAACTCCACAATATACTGAAGTTCAAAGTCAATGTGGAGGCTATTCGTGCTAGGCCTTGCTGAGTCGAGGCCTGAGTGAGCATGTGGTTAGCTGCCTTTACCCCTCCTGCTCTGTCCCAAAGGGATTCCCCAGCCCTCAAGCCCTTTGATGAAGATTGCAGAGAGCCTCCTGCAGCGATGAGCCTGACACAGGCCAGGTTTGGGGCTGGAGTACGTGCCCCAGGGGACATTTCCTTAGAAACTTGCTGCAGCACGGTGGATTCTCCTACCCTTTGTGGAGTTTCTTTTTAAGCCTTTAACTGAAAAGCCCACCCCAGTTTCCCGCTCTCCCCAGTTGCTGAGCAGGAGGTGAACCCTGGGCTGGTGCTGCTCTCTGCAACAGGCAAGACAGGAATAGGTTTTCTTTCCCTTTTTTGTTGTTGGATTTTGTGGGTGGAGGATTCTAAGAACATCACCCTTGCGGAACAGGTGGGCACCAGGCCACCACATGCCATAACAGCCAGAGTGGCATTCCCTGGAGATGGCATTTCTCCTGGAGCTTTACTAAGGGGGAGGTTGGGGGGTGGCTCTTTATCAAGCCACTTCTTAGCACCTTATCAGTGATCGCACTGGGCTAGGTGGTGACCCTTGGTCCCATAGAGGGCGCTGTGGCACCTAAGCCCCCCGAAGGAGCTCACTCCCGCCACAGGAGAGTGCACAGAGGGTGGGTGCAGGCAGGACTGCCAAGTTCTGTGAGCTGGTGGATCTGGATGATGCCGTCTCCCTCCCACTCCTCTCTGCCCGCCATGTGCCCCAACATGCATGGACTACCATTGTCTCTGGCCCTTATGCAGGGCACCTAAAGTGCAGGGAAGCTCCTTGCACACACTCCCTCCTGCATTCGTGGCACAAAAGCTGGGGCAGCTATTTGCAACTGCAGCTCTGGCTTGGGAAGCAATGGGGATGCTGTGGGAACAGGGCTGCCCAACATGGGTGCATTTCATAACACCTTGGTTGGAATCAGTGGAACGCCCCCCATTTCCCAGCAGCCACCTCCCTCAGAGGAGCTGCAGCTGAACGGAGCCCAAGATACAATCAGCTCCCAGAGTGTTTATAGCTCTCCCTGTGTACAAGTCTTCACACCTCCTCCACTGCACCAACCTCACTCCCTAGCCTCCTCCCAGGTCTTCCTCGCTCAGCCTTCCACCCCGATCCTCTCTCCTGCCAGTGCTGTGTCTAACCCAGACTGTGAATGTCTTAGGGCAGGGGCATTACCGCTCCACGTGTCTGCCAAGGCCCAGTTGCCACATGCGGGCTTCTGCTCAAGCTTTGGTTGAGCGGGACTCACGGGAAGGAATCAAACCAACCCAGTCAGTGTTCAAACAGGCACAACACAAAACATTCTCCTTTATTTCTTTGACAATACGGAGAGTTTTGTTCAAAGAGGAAAAATCTGCTCATAAAAATCCAAATGGACTCCAAGCAAACTGGAGCGATTCCAATGAGTCTCTACCAGACACGGACATGGAAGGAGACGTGGCTCCGGTGGTCACCCTCCATGGGGCTTGCCAACTGCTAAGCTAGATCACTACTGCTAAATGGGAAAGCCTTAGCAGCAACTTCCAGACACTGCCCCCATCACATCTTATCTGTGCTGCCAGAATAGGCATGACAGCAAACCGGGTGGGTCCCGGGGGATGAACAAGGTGTAGGGTGAACAATGCTGGCCAGTCGAATCTGCAGCCAGTCGAATCTGCAGGCCTTCTGATCAGCTTGGCGAACTGGTTGCGCCCACCACAAATAAAATAAAGGCACTTCCCAAAGTTCAGTGGAGAGAAAACTGTGTGTTTGTCATTGGCTTTCAAACCCCTTTCATATTTCCATTCCTAGCAGCAGCCAATCCCTTCTGTAATACACTGCAGCCCCTCTGTATGGACACCCCTGCTGTCGTTCTACCCAAAACTCAGGGGGTTCCCACACAGGCCAGGCAGCCAAAGCCCCTCACCCCCAGTTGTCCCACCACTACGGTCGCCTTTGGAGATCACCATGGGCCCAGTGCTGTAGTAACAGGTGCAAAGCAGGAGAGGGAAAGGCCAAGTCCAGGGGTGAAGACAAAAATCCAGCTTTGACCCATCCTTACCAGCCACCCCATTCTCAGGAACTGCAGGCCTCAGTTTATCTGGATTGTCATCCCCCAAGCAAGGCACTTTGTCGGGAAGTAGGGAATCAAACCTCCAACGTTGGAGGGTGGGGGAGGAAGGGTGGTGGGGGTGAGCAGAGGTGCTTGAACTAGCTGAGGGGATCGGGGTGGAGCAGGCAGGGGGGCTGGAGATTCTCAATCCTTTCCTACATGGTACAAATAATACCGAACACAGTGAGAGATGATCACCTGAACCATTCTAGATCCAAGCTCATACGCCAGATACTCTGCTGGTGTAAATGGGAGTAGCTGAGGATGTGGTGCAAAAAGAGACAAAAAGAAAAGAGAGGAAGAGCTCCTCTACCTTGCTCCAGCATGGCCTAGACTGGCCTCTCCTGATAGCACATGGAGTCCCCCGATAGTAGTTGGGAGAGATGGGACAGGCAGGGCTACGATCCTGGCAAATCTGTAACCCAGCGAATAACTGATTATTTTTTAAATAAAGAACTAAATAAAATTAAACCCAGCCCCATAGAAATAATCTTCTTGTTGGGAGAGAAAACTACCAAGTCTAGATAATCTGCAGAAAAGCAGCCACAAAGTCCTAGCTCACCCTCATTTCCTCCACCTTTCATCTCATTCCATTGTATTCAGTGACAAGGCGAAACTAGTTAGAGGCACTCAGACTCTTGCTCTCCTGCTACGGAGAAGTTTAGATCCAGCTCAACCTTAGCATCACAGGCCCATCATTAGCCAGAAGAATCCCAGATCCACTCATCCGAACCATTCTGAATTTATGGACATTTAGATTTGAAGCCCCAGCCCCAAACCTGTCTCTATCAGTTTCATCTGAAGGTTGCATCCAAAACTGGAAGGACCTCATCTTCTGATCTCGGTTCAAACTGCAGCCAAAATCTAAGGACAAAAGCTTTCAGCCCAAAATGGCAGAAATATCACGAGAAATGCTGATCTCACAAGATTTCCATCGCCCAAGATGACGGAAATCTCATAAAATCATTTGTGGGCCAAATTGCCTGAGATTTTGGTGCCTTCAAACCCAAAGCTTAATGAGCTGGCCCAGAAGCAGAATCCCATTTTAAACTCAATCCAGATCCAACCGCGGCCTCTTTGGCACATCTCTAATCTGAGCAAACTCTCCCTGCCTTCCTCATTCCATGGCATTCCTCTTGCAGCAGATATAAACTACATGGGAAGGTCTCTGAGTTACTATAAAGAATTCTTTCCCACGTGTCTACTGGTGGGTCTCACCCACATGTTCAGGGTCTAACTGATAGCCATAGTTGCGGTCGGAAAAGAATTTTCCCCCAGGTCAGATTGGCAGAGACCCCGGGAGGCTTTTTGCCTTCCTCTGCAGCATGGGGCAGGGATCACTTGCAGGTTTAACCTACTGTAAATGGTGGATTCTCTGAAACTTGAAGCCTTTAAACCATGATTTGAGGACGTCAATAACTCAGCCAGAGGTTATGTGTGACAGGAGTGGGCGGTTGAGGGTCTATGGCCTGCAATGTGCAGGAGGTCAGACTAGATGATCACAATGGTCCCATCTGGTCTTAAAGTCTCTGAGTCCATGAGAAGCAGGTGGCTGACCATTAGGAGAGCAACACAGCAACATCTCTTAGCATTGCCAGACTGAATGTGAGGCAGAAGCTTCCTGCAAATTCAGACACCCAAACAAAAGCAGAGAAGGAAGCAAACCTGAAAGACGGAAACATACTGAACTGGATATATTAAAATAGCAACTTCTCTTTCGGGATTTTTGGACATAAGCAGCTGTTAGAAGCTGACCTGAGAAGATCAGATTATTTCATTTAATTTAATTAATTTAACTTAACTCTTTTTTTTATGGACTATCAGATCAAACTCATGATTAAAGACAGCAACTCACGGGAAGCTACTGAAACCTCCCCCCTCCTGTTACAACTCTTCCACTCATTTAAAACCCCTTTTCCTCACCTAGCGTGCAGAGACTGGGACAAACTAGCAAACACTAGTGACCCTGATCGTGGAAGAGCCCAAAACGATGCAACACCTGGCATTTATTTCTGGTTGCCCTCGAGAGAGATTTCTCGATACCAAAATAGCTTGGCATGTGGCTTTGGCTCATAGAGGCAAGCCAGTGTCCTTAGCCTGGCCCCACCTTCAGACTTGCTGCCTTCCTTAGACCTACTGAGATGCTCCTAAATCCCCTAAGCAGCTTATCAAGACTGCATGGACGGCGTGGTATCACTAATGGATCAAGGACTCTAGCTGCCTCTGCATGCCATTGCCAGCTCTGTTTGCCGGAGAGGCTTGCGCGCGGCCGGTTGCTAAGGTCGGTGTGAGGATGAAAAGACAATAAAAACATGGAGGCCAAACACAGAAATAAAACCGGTGACATCTCCATCCCCGGACCTCCAAAAGAAAGTGCTGAGCAAATTGGCCAAGGCACCGGCAATGCCCCAGATTTTAGATTCTGCCTCTCGGGCGGACGTCTGCGAGTTGGTGGCCGTAATCACGGTGCTGCAGGATGCCGGTCAGGATGTGCTTCAGCTGAGTGAGGCGGGCCCGCAGCGAGGTAGTGGCAAAGAGCCGGAGCTGGTCAGATGGGTCCAGGGGCAAGATGGAAATAAGCCACCAACACCAAGCTGGTCCATCTTTGGTGGCCTAGAAGAGAGAGAAGAAAGCTGCAGTTCAGAAAGAGGATGGGAGCTTGACACAAGCCCAGGCAGTAGGGCCTGGGACCTGTGGGATATCCTGTAGGAGGCATTATGCCCCTGGTGGACAGGATCGCCCCGTCAGACCATTGTTAGTCAGATGTCCACTTGGACATCTTAGTTACCCGTCAAGGGCCAGGCCCATTGCAGAACAGAACCAGGCTCCAGAATTGAAAGACTCAGACATATATACCACACGGTGCTCCAGAGTGCAGCTATGGCCAGAAAAGGGGCTGCAAACATGGCAATTCCTTACTCAAAACACCGCTTTCTGGGTCTTCAGATGGCTCCCTGCTTTGCTGACCAGGGGGCCAGATCCTCTCCTCTGTTATATCCACACAGCCCCACTGGGGCTACCCCACAGCAGTGTGCACTGTGTCCAGTGGCTTTTGCAGAAAGGAGAGTGTTGCCTACAGCAGTGGTTCTCAAAGCCGGCCCGCTGCTTGTTCAGGGAAAGCCCCTGGCGGGCCGGGTCGGTTTGTTTACCTGCCGCGTTCGCAGGTTCAGCCGATCACGGCTCCCACTGGCCGCGGTTCGCCGCTCCAGGCCAATGGGGGCTGCGGGAAGGGCGGCCAGCACGTCCCTTGGCCCCCGCCGCTTCCCACAGCCCCCATTGGCCTGGAGCGGCGAACGGCGGCCAGTGGGAGCCGCGATCGGCCGAACCTGCGGACGCGGCAGGTAAACAAACCGACCCGGCCCGCCAGGGGCTTTCCCTGAACAAGCAGCGGGCCGGCTTAGAGAACCACTGGCCTACGGCAGTTCTCAGTGGGGAAAGCCTTACCCAGGGTATCTTTAGGACCCTTTGTTTGCCCTTTGTTTGGGCACATGCAGCTCCTGGATCTGAATGCAGCACTGCAGCACCTATTCATGCCATTTAGGTGCGCAGTTGGGCACCTAAGTAATCTGAAAAAAATGCTCTTTAAAATGTAACCAGGTTTAAGAGAAAATACCCCACTCGGGGGAATGAGGACAGGGCCTGCCTCTAGTTTCAGGCTGTCTAAAGCAGCGTAAAGTCCAGTCACATTCAGAAGAGAATCTTTGCAACCAGTAGAAATGTACTCGCTTAAGAAAAGGAAAGCTTCTGTCTGCAGAGTCTGAAACCATCAGAAGAATGTGACAAGCGAGTCGGATCCAGCCCTTTGGGCACCTCGTCCCTAGCCAGAAATGCCATTTCCTTGAAGGAGCCGCAAATATTTACCTTTTTTATTTTGATTCCAAGAACAGTTTAAAAATATCTGTGGGCCGCCTGTTAGATAGCAGAGGGTCACAAACCGGCACTAAAAATGATGCTGAGCAAGGGAAACCCTCTCAAAATAGCAATAGGAGCAACTACTACGCGAGGCAGACCATGTTGCCTTAGTTGTCCCCTCTAGGGTCCCCGCCAAACAGCAAGAGCTTTGTGGGGACTGGTTCGTCCCACAGCATATACTCTAAAACCAGGCAAATGGGTCTCACGGTTGACATATTCACCAGGACAGAGCCCGTGAAAACTCATGGTCGTGCACCTGGGATTGAGATATATCCGCTGAAAGGACCTCCCCCTGCCCTCCCTGCTCCAGCTCAGACCCCTTGCAGGGTTTAGCCATGAGATCATAGTAGGTTCCCCTAGCAATTCATCTTGGCATGCAGAATACCTCAGTTTCCCCTGTGACCATATCACTGTCCTCAAACCTGTTCTTGTTTTAAAAAGGAGAGAGTAATACATTGCTCTTTGGGGCAGGGACAAGCTGCAGCACCTAGCACAATGGGGCTTTGATCCCCAATTGGCACTTTTACAAACAAACATACATTTGGGCAGAAAATAGCCAGCCCAGTTGCTCAGTAGCGTGGAGTGCAAACTCCGCCCCCTTTTCCCCCCAGGTCTGCTAATGTACGATGGTGTGGCCTGCAGAAAGCCCTGATGGTCCAGTCCTGGGCTCCCCACACACTGCTCCACCAAGGCACCTCACTCTCGACCTGCAGTGCCTTTTGCTGCTCCTGCCCTGGACATCCGGGCCTTTTATTTTGTAATGATGGACTTCTGCTTGGTGCCTGTTCGATTTTGAAAAATCAGAGAGGGTACAGAGTTGATCTGCAAGAGTGATTCAAGTTTGGGAGAACCCCTCATGATGAGAGAGTAAAGGAGCTCACCCAGGAGCATTTCATGACAGTCTCTAAGTGCCTACACAGGAATCTCTCCGCTATGAGAGGTCTTTAATCTAGCAGACAGAGGCATCGTGGGATCCAGTGGCTGCAAGCTGAAGTCAGCTACATTCAAGCTGGAAATCAGATGCAAATTTTTAACAGTGAGGGTAATGAACGACTGCACCAGCTCCTCAAGGGACACGACGGATCCTCCTCCGCTTGGAGATCAAGCCTGGATGTCTTTCTAAATGCATGCTCTACTTCCACCACGGGGCTCCAGGTGATGCAGGAGCTCAGGTTAGAGCTCACAAGGACCCTTTCTGGCCATTGCATCTGTGGAATCTGTAAGTTTATTTCTAAGAAGGCAGCCATCCCAGAGGCGCCTCGCCAGCAACTCCCTCATTACCTGGATGTCCTCTTCCTTCTCAGGCAGGGGGCCGCGGTGCATCAGAATCTGCCTCAAGGCAGCATCCCCGTGTTCACAAAACTTCTGCGCCTGCTGGTAGGTGCACTCGTGCAGACGGTGCAGCTCGGCCAGCTCTTCCCCTTCCACCTGGCCGGTGAGGAGATGAAAGCAGAATGAAAGGAAGAGTGATGGGGAGCACTCGGTGAGGGGGTGAGAGATCAGGGGAAGGGAGTTGGAAGGAGACAGTGCAGGAGTGGTGAAGACAGGAGAGGAGAAGAAATCAATACAGGGATTTTAGATAAACTGGTTCAGTAACATAGTACATGCAGGAGCAGTGCGAGCACGGGTGAGGTTCCTCTCTGCAGCAGGCAGTGCCAACCCAGCATGACACTGCTGTCATCCCAGCCACCCGCCCCCACAGCACTGTGTCCATTTAGTGGCTCCTCGAAAGGCTGCGACCAGCAGAAGTTGGCCTGGGTCAGCTCACTCGCGGAGGGGGCCGATCCCATGTGCACAGCACCGGTTCCTCGTTCAGCACCATGTATGGTGAGCTATACGACCAGCGGGGGGAAGGGATGCCCTCCATGACGAACCTGGCCTGCAGCACAGAGGTGGGGGCAGCCAGTTAGGCGTTGGGTGCAAGGAGGTCAACATGGGTGAAACGGCTGAAGTCCGTTCTTGGAAACCCCCGCACGCTCTAAGCCTGGGAAGTAGAGATTATAAAGCAGCAAGGGATGAGCCGGCAGCAGATGGCTGGAGCAAACGGAAATTCTGAGCCCCAGAAACGCACCTGGAGAGAACGTTCCCATGCGCCAGAATTCACCGTTCTGGGGTAGCCCCATTTCAACCGGTGGTCTGCCCTGCTGAATGACTGCTACTGCCCCTGCTGTGCATTTATACAGCAGCCCTACGGGCTGCTCTCACCTTCTCGTCCTCCAGGTACTCGATATCAGCAGTGTTGTAACCGTCCCTGTGTCCCCGCCTCAGCACCCGGAACCGACGCCTTCCTATCGTGTCCACCAGGGATCGCCCGTCGGCCAAGAACTCCATGTGCTGAATCTCCAACATGCAGCCGTAGTCCGCAAAACTGGAGCAGATGAGAGGGGAGTATGAGGAGGAGAGGGAAGGAGCTTAGGCGTGAGAGCAATGCGAGAGCGTCTTTCCACAAAAAAAGGAAGAAAAAGCCCCAGTAACTGGCTGGATGAAGGCCCTACACACAGAGAAGTTCCCTGTCAATCTGTAAAACCCTCCACTAAGCCACATACATCTGCAAGGGAGTGATTCCTCCAGTGTCCATGACACTGAATTATGTCCAAGCTACGCAACCGGTAACTATGGATATATTTTACTCAGGGCTCTTGCATATCATTGCCGGAGCCCTGAGCATCTTTGACCCTTGTGACCCAGGTGGGCAGCCCACCATCTTCCCACCAGGGGAGAGGGGTTTTGCCTTTTGGAGCCTGTCAGTGCTGTTCTGAAAGGAACTAGAGGGGTGCCTCTTGGAGGATCTATGCAGCTTCCTTTCCCCACCCTCCAAACTCCCTTCATGTGGATCATTCTCCTAACGGGGGTTTCCAACAGAAATGCTGGAAGAGCTGTAGACCACAGCACTGCTGTACCTGGCCCTAACCACTGGACCATCTTTCTTCCAGCCTTGACAGTGGCCCCCCGTGGACATCACAGGGCCCCTAGACTGACAGCTACTATTTTGGAAGATAAAGACACAGGAATTGACATGTCTACAGCAAAAAATGGGGCAGTCGATAGGTCTGAGAGGATGAAGCATAGGTAGTGGGAGGAGGGGGTCACAGATGGAGAGATGAGAATGCAGCTGCAGCTGGTGCCTTGGTCCATGGCTCACCTCTTCCCACTCTCATACATACACATGCCAAACATCTTCGTGCCGGTCTCCTGGCACCTCCGCATCATGAGACGGTAGCGAGGTTCGAAGACGTGCAGCGGGCACGAGATGCCCGGGAAAGACATGGTGCACACAAAGATGGGGATGTTCTTGGTCAGGCTGCAGGGAAGGGGATGACAGGAAAGAAATTCTTGGTCACTGCTTTGAAACTTCACCCCTTTTCCGTGTGGACGTGGCAAGAGCAGCACATGGAAAAGCACAGGACACCAAGTCTCATCAGTCTCAAGGAATCAATTTATACTTAGCAGGACCTGGCCAGTCTCATAAACCTGCTCTTTAATACTGCATTCCACCAAGAGGCAAGGGATGCATGAAGAAACAATGCTCTGGCCTTGCAGAATAATAAATCATCGCCTCAGATCATCCAGGGGGCTATAACTCTGCCAATGAAGCCATCCAGCTGATCTGATATGGAGGCCCACTGGAGAGAACCCCACCAACCCACCAGGTAGCAGCTTCTCAGTGGGATCCTCTCTGTTCTCTGAAGGGCCCTTTGAGACTGAAGGTCTCCCCTGTCCACATTATGGTACAGGCACGTACACTCGCTCTCCCGCCCCTCTCCCCACAAACACACCCACACACATATATTGAAGACGTTCTTTGTTTACTTTGAGAGCTCTGCCATCTCAGCCTCATGCACCCGTTTCCTGTCTGCCAGCTGCGAGGGAAAGGTGGCCGCCATGATCTCCACCAGCAGCACGGTGGGGTTGTACTTCCCAGCCTTCAGATACTGGAAGAGAGGGAAAGAGAAAGAAGTACAACCTTGGTCAAAAACATTCACGGTAGTGCAGGGGCCCAACTGAAGCTGGGAACTATCCCCACCCCTCATGGAGCCAAAGGCCATTTCAGATCAAAGAATGGGAAGGAGAGAGCCCACAATCTTCTCCCAGTGATGTAGGCCCCTCCCATTCCAGCTATAGGAGGGTTTCCCACAGGTGTAATAGGATTAGGTGTTATAGGAAAGGAATTGCCAGACTGGATCAGACCTATGGTCCATTTAGTCTAGTATCCTGTCTCTGACAGTGGCCAATATCAGATGCTTCAGAGGAAGCTTCAAGAAACCCCTGAGATAATCTGCTTTGTGATGGTCTCCTCTTAATCCCTGTTAGTTAGAGATTCCCTTAACCCCCGAGGCATGAGGGTTTAATCCCCTTCCATTTTTGTTAGCCTTCACTATTATAACCCTAGATGTATATAAATGTGCAGTTCCTCTGTGAATCTAGCTAAATTCTTGGCCTCAACTAGTCTTGTGGCAATGAGTTCCACAGTCTAATTGCATGTTGTGTGAAAAAGCATTATACGATCACACATGCATGAGCAGACCCAGTACCCCATCTGGTAGAGAACAGTGCTTGCCAATGTACAGCACAGTCCTAGTCTTATACCCTCCTAGTTTGGCCAATATTGCTTCCAGGCCTGCTGCTTTTACAGCTGGAGCGTGTTAACAGCAGTGCTCCGATCTCCCTTCTGCTCCAACCCACAGAGTCACCAGAGGCTTCCTCTTACCTCTCTCAGGCTCTGTTTGCACAGTGGGCAGTTGGGCCTGTGGTCCAGACAGCGCTCCAGGCACTCCTTGCAGAAGGTGTGGCCGCAGGGCGTGGTCACTGGCTCAAAAAACATCCTGCAGAACCACAGGCACAAGGTTGAGCAAACCGAAGGCAGGAGGGTGGAAGAGGGGTGCGTGGAGTTACAGGCCATGATTTGGCCTTAGAAGAGGCGAAAGCCCAGGACGGAGAGAAGCAGAGAGCAGGCCCCCCAGGTAGCTGGGTCCCAGTCTAGTTAAGGTTTCGTAAGCCAGCAAAGCATGTGTGCTCTCTGGGCAGCCAGTGCGAAGGACATGTGGGAGGCTCGCAGACGCACACTTTGAGCTGCTGCAGTCTGAACCAAAGCGAGGGCACTGCTTTGCGGGCAGCCCGTGGCAGATGGAGTTACCACACTCTGGGTGCCACGTGACCAGGGTGTTAGGGGGCAGGGTGCATCTTGCCCGCCACTGACACATGTCTCTCTGTGGCCAGAGCTCACGAAGGACCCACCGCGCTCTTAACAGCCCCAGCTGTGCCCTATGGCACCTAGGACTCACCGGCTATGCGACCTGTCAGGATGCTTTACTGGGGACCTGGCGGAGGCCGGAGCCAACAGGAGAGGAGACTGTGTTGCCGTGCTTACACCCCAGAAAGGGGACGAGCACTTTACTGGGGATCTGCTTGTTAGTTTGTTCTATGAATTACTCTCACTGCTGGGGGGCAGGGGGGAGCTCTTAGAGCTAGAGCAGAAGGATGGCCACTGGTTAGAGCACTAGCGGACACCTGGGTTCAAGCACGGCCCTGCCATAGACCTCTTGGGTGAGTCTCATAAACCCAGAAGGGACCATTAGATCTAGTCTGACCGCCCCTGTATCACAGGCTATTAACCTGCACCCAAATCCCGCTATGTCGAGCCCAGTGACTTCTCTTAAACTCAAGCATTTCAAACCTCAGGAGACTAAACTGCTGTGTACCACAGGTATCAAGTACAAGTGAGACAGAGATCCCACTGATGCCCTGCAATGGCAGGGAACTGAGTAGGTGAGACAGAGCTTTGTGATCCCAGGAGGGGAGCCAGGCCTCATTTGCGGAAGAAAGTGAAAAACTCCCAAGGTCCCAGCCAGCCAGTGGGGGCAGATTCCATCCTGACCCTGACTATAGCGACCAGTTAGACCTTGAGCATATGAGCTAGACCCACCAGCCAGGCATCTAAGACAGACGATTCTCTGTACCAGCTCAGAGCACTGGTCCACCCCAACCAGTATCATGTCTCTAGCTGTGGCTCATCTCTGATGCTTCAGAGGAAGTTGGGGGGGAAAAGATTCAAAGTGTATGTTGGGGGTGGGGATTCCTTCCTGACCCCAGCAAGTGACTGGCTGAAGCTCTGAAGCATGAGGTTAGACAACAGTCATTATCATACTGTAGAGCTACACGTGTTATGAGCATGCTGAAGGCAATGCAGACAATCCCATTCCCTCCATGGTCCATGAAGGAAGGGGCTGAACAGGGGGAAGCACAGACTCACAGTCAGTCTATCTGCTTCAGGTGCCCATCTGTAAAACAGGACTAACAGCCCTTCCTTCCCTCACAGGGGTGCTGGGAGGATACATAGCTTTAAGAGGGTCAGGCAGCCGGAGGCTATGGCAAATGGAACCATAGAATTACCATAGACAGAGAATTCACCCTCTGACACCTGCCCAGCACCTCCATCTTACAATGCAAGTCAGCTCTCCTGCACCTGGTGCTCACTCCCCTAATAGCCAAGCCTCCTGGCAGGCAACTGACTGTAAAGGAAATGTGCAGCTGAGTATGACCAGTGTCTGGAAGACACCTGACCCCATGACACTCAGTGACTTTGCCCCAGAGCCTCACACATAACTGAACATCTCCGCTCACATGGCCATCTCCCCTTCGCCAGGAGCAGCCAGCCTAGCAAGTTATTCCCAGAACTTGCCAGCACTTGCCAGTCAATTTGCCAGGAGGCCCCAGCTCTGTGCAGCATCTTGGCTCGCACAGACCATTTCCTCTCATCGAACTGACGTCTACCCTAATGGATTAGTCGCATTATTATTTTTAATCGAGGGAACTCAGGCTTAAAAAATAACCAGCCCTCGAGCTGCAGACCAGGACTGGGTCATCCAGAGGGATTAGCGCTTCAAGCCACTGCTCCTGGGTTCAGAGGCTGATCTGAAGTCCCAGGGTGGTCATGGGGGCCATGGCTCAGGGACAAGTTGCCTGAGCGCAGTGCGGCCATAGGTCTCTGCTAAACAGAGGCCTGAGGAGGGAGCAGCAGGTTTAAGGTCAGGACTGAGGAGCCCTGGCAGAGCTGTTTGTTCAGGTCCTGTCTGCTGCTGGCCAACATACCCAAGCACAAGGCCTAGTTCTCCTCCCGTCCCTGCTGGTGGGCATTAAGGGTAGCTCCACCGAGCCAGAACACAGTCAGACCCAACTCGGAGAAAAGGCCGCATGTACCACTTCTCCTTGTTGCAGGGGCAAGCCATGTCCCAGATCTCCTTTCTCGCGGCTGGGAGAGGCCAGCCGTTTGTGAGGGAACATGCCCACCTTGGCCTGCTGCTTAGTTAGCTGAATGCTCCAGTGTGAAGCCTGTGTGATGCTGGCTTACTGCTTAATCAGAAGTATAAATCACCGAAAGCTTATGCTCAGATAAACTGGTTAGTCTCTAAGGTGCCACAAGTCCTCCTTTTCTTTTTGCGAATACAGACTAACACGGCTGTTACTCTGAAACTTCCCCTGATCGGCAGCCTGGGCTCCGATCGATGGAGTTAAACCACTAAAACCTCGGAGATCAGCCCCACAGCATCCCTGCTGGAGTCCTGGTGATCCCACACACGCTGTCTCGTCCCTGCACCTGCCTAGAGGCAGGGCAGGGGTTTCCTCTGGAGGCAACCGGGGCGGTCAGCATTAGGCAATGAAAGACGCTCCATCCCACCAGCACCGACGAAGGCCAAGCATGCTGCCTCCAGAGCGTTCCCAGCAATCTCCTCGCCCAGAGAGCGCGAATGACTGGCCTATGTGACTTTCCGTAGCAGGCGGCAGGGTCCCACCAAATGGCCCCAAAAGCCTTCCCCCGGAGGAGGGGAGGGTCCACCCAGACATGGAGAGTAACAGATTATTTGGGACAAACCCAGGGAAGGGAGAGAGGTCATGGGCCAGCAAGAGAGTAGGGACCAAAGAGGGACATAGAGCAGAGAGCCCTGGACCAGTGCCCACTGCTTGGAGAAGATGTTAACAGGCCAGGACGTGCTGCCCAATGGAAGCGCCAATCATTGGGCTAACATTTCTCTCCTGGCTTCTCTCTCTCCATTACAGTTTGGGCTTCTGGACACTTGTACATGCCTCGTTCCCCTCCTCAAAAAACAGTCCTGGGATTAAACGACTGGCGATTTTCAGGTACATTGGGCCAAATTCACCCCTAGTTTAACTCCACCCTCCTCAGTTCATTTACAGTGTGGGTGGTACATTTCCCACGCTGCCCATTCGCTGGCTGAACCCCCCCCCACCCCCCCCGTGTAGCTACTAGGAGCAGGGAAAGGGTTAGGAGCGGCCTCAGGCCCAGGCAGCAATGTACAAACGTCTTTGTCTTCTTGTTGCGCGCACATGAGCCTTCAGGAGCGGGGAGGAGGACAGCTGTGTAACGGTTCCAGGTACTCAAAGAGTTAAGTGGATAATGAAGTTAATTTTAACACACCCTTTGGCAAGTTTCACTTGGTTTCGCTATCAACTCACTCAATCACATGGCCCTCAGCCTACGGGTGCCTAGTGTTTTCATTACAGTGAATCACACAGAATGCACTAGGAATGCTGACTTACGAGCTGGTGGTAACGGACTCTGTTATCGACATCAAAGGGACCGACCACACATTGTTATCCGTGTCCTGCGCGCTTTATCGTGCGTCCCTCGTTTAGCTTTGCCTGCGCTTGGGCATGAAAAATTTAGCAGCAAGATGTGAGCAAAAGGTCTGGGCCAGCAAACTGTGCCCCCAGCTCGGCAAAAGCCGTTTGGTGACTCACCGTATGCAGAGGGAGCACTCCAGGTCAGACACGCTCAGTAGGTCCCTTAGCTCTGGCTCGTGGCGATGGCTAGATTTTGCTCCTGCTGTTTCCTCCCCGATACCTAGAAGCAGAGGAATGAGTGATGCCCTCTGAGAAACGTTTGGGGGTTTTCATAGATTTAAGGACAGAAGGAACCTCTGTGATCACCTCATCTGCCCTCCTGCAGCATACAGCCACAGGGTTTCAGCCGGGTGGATTTCAAATGTAACATTTTAGCAGGCAGTGTGGCCTGGATCTCAAGTCTAGTGAAGCAAGCGTAAGACCAGGAGCAATCATTTCTGCCCTGCCACTGAGTGAGTCATTCTGCATGGCCTGAGTGAGTCATTTCATCCCTCTAGGTCTGTTTGCCCATTTGGAGAATGAAACTAATTCTCTGCCTCCCACGGGTGGTATGAGGTGTAAGTCGTTACTACCCAGACAATGCTTTGAAGAGGAAAAGCCAAAGTGCTAGGTAGCGTTATCTAATTGCGTGTGTGTGTCGCGGCAGTCATCATGCCCAAAGCTAAGGCCAAGTTCATACTTTGGAAAAACATTTTCTCCCCGTGTGTACAGGACAGGAAGTGTTTCTCACTCCGGAATGGAGGGCCTGATCCAAAGCCCCTGGAAGATATTGGGAATATTTCCACAGACTTCTGTAGGCTTCTGGTTTGAGAGCAAAGTAACTGCACTTGTCTTTTAAGCCTGTCTATGTGGAGGACACACTGTAACTGGAGCAGGCATTAACAGCTGCCTTTCTAAGTGAGAGTATGCATGGGGAAATCACCCTGCTAAATATGCTGGAAGCACATCTGCTGGAAGAAGGGAATTCACAGTACAAATGGGATGGGATGGAATTCACAACCACATGATGCTGTATTTCCAAATACAACTCCAACCTGAATCCAAATACCCCAAGCCAGTCCCCCCAGCCTACGAGACCAGGTGAGGGGGATAGACACTGTCCAGTTCAGGTCATGGCCTTCTGCTCTGTACTTCCTATGATGAGGAGTCTGAGAAGGTGTGACTCTAGGGTGGAGTTTGACCACATACAGTCAGAAGTCTCTGGAGTAGACTCCTCTACCCGGCTTGGTGAGGGGACACACTCTAGAGGAGACTGACAAAGCCTCATTAAGAAATGTTGGGTTTCCACAACCACTGAGTCTCTTCTACTCTCCATGAATATTAAGCCCTATCCACCGTAGGTCCCAATGCCAAGAGAGAGGCTGCAAACTTCCCCTGCAATGGAGGACAGGGTGACACACACACTTGCGGCATTTCGATGGGCTTCCAGGTGTCTGCAAGGCCTCCTACCTAATGATCTCCCCTCTTGCTTCTCTGTCGAAGTCCCTGAGTCTTTCCTTCTCCTCAGCCACCAGGCAGGCTGCTGGGGAATTCGAGGCTCCAACTGGCTAAGTTCAGACAAAGCTTCCCCCTTCCCATCCTCCGTCTCTCTCTCTGGATCCTGGATCACAAAAAATAAAAAGTCAAGCCTGATACCCCTGCCTCTCCTGCGTTCCCATAGACACGTCTGCACTACTGAGTCACAAGGGGGAAGGATTTTCCACTCATGCTGGGCATGGGAGCTCCCAGGGAAGGATTTTACACCCACACTTCAGAGGAGAAACACACACACATTACAGAGGAGAACAAAGATGCTGTCCCCTTGTTATCCAACCGGGGCACCTATCATGCATGCAGAGGATGGCCAGTGTTGTGCTTAAAACATGGGCCAACTCTCTCCAAGCTCCGCCCACTCCCTGGGTATGGCTGAACCCACACTCCCCCATCTCCACGTCCCTCCTCGCCTGGCGGGGTCTCCCAGAGAGGGTAAAGTAACAATAGGAGAGGAGCTTTCATTAAGAGAGCTGGCCTGAATGTTTCCTCAAGTAAAGCTTTTCATCAAAAATCCCCCCCCCTTTTTTTCCTCGAAAAACGAAACACGGGGGGGGGGGGGGGGAATTTGCTGTCACATCTTTTGTTGCCTGAGATCAGTTTGGAAATATTTTGCTTACCAAAAACACGGCAGGGGGGAAAAATCTGGAAAATGGGCGCATTCTCATACCTGCCCAATCCCTTCACGAGATGCGGGGGTATCGCTTTCCCGGTGTTCAACCCGCTCTGTTCACCCCTTTGCGGTGCTGAATCTCTGCTAGCTGCAACTCCCTCCGTCTTTCCTTCACCCCCTTCCCAATCCCAGAGAAAGACACGTCAGTGCTCTTGGTTACACACACCCACCCCTCTGAGTGACTATCTTCACCTGATCTTTGCACCTGCACGCATAACCATAGCGGGCCCAACAGGCCTCCTCACCTGCCCATACTCTCCTGCCGCAGAGGGCCTTAGCAGAGGGCCTGCTCCTTCCTTCCCTGAGCTGGAGCTTTTAAAGTCCAGGCTGGCAGCACTCAGTAGTTCCACAACAGTGCCGGGCAGCGGGGAGTCATCCTGCGTGAGGAGCTGCAGGCAGAGGAGTCACGTCACACGTTTGGTGCAGGGAAAGCACACCATAAGGTGGAATGTGGATTCTAGATTGGGGTGGAAAAGTCTAAGCCCTCAACGCCCTCTGTCGTCCCTCCTCCCCCCACAACCCTCTATATTCTAGAAGCTAGGCAGGACCAAACTCCAGCCATGCCTGATGGCTATAGGACAGGGTAGAGATGAAGATCCAAGCCCAATTTCTTATCTTCAAAGCCTCTGGACAGAATCCTGGTTTCCTGCTGCAATGACACACCAGTTCTACCCATTGCCACACTAATGCCTGGGCAGCGCAGTGAGCCGGGAAGAAAGGGCGGTAGAAGAGAGCGAATACGACGGTGGTGATTAACAGCCGTGGGGACTTTGCCAACAAAACTGGTACAACACGGGCAGGCAGAGTGCAAACCGCTCCACCCACAACCGTGTTCCTCGCCCTGGACTCGGATGGAGGAAACGTCTCTGTGCCTATGGAAGCATGCCAGGGGTAGCAAGCGGTGCCAAAGGTCATGGTGATTTCTGTAAGGGGAGGGACACCGGCCAAACAGGATCTGCACTGAGATCCCCGCACTCCGGGCTGGCTTGACTGCTCTTTTTCAACCAGCCTGGGTGCAATGCCTCCGCTAAGCATTGCCAAGGCCAGAGACTTGGAGCTGCGGCTCGAGAGGCAGTTTTCTGGACAGGAAAACTGCAAGGCTTTTGCCTGGGGAAGGTGGGGGGTGAGGGGAAGGAAGCCTGTTCATAGTTGCCCTCAGGAAGAGACTATTCCTCACTCCCACGCTGGCAGGGTTAGCGACTCGGTGGAGCAGGATGCCCAGTCTCCGGGAGGGAAGGAGCACCTCATCGCTCTATTCAAGGGCACTGAAATCCATGCCCAGATTTCTACCTCCTGGGGAAGTCGACAGGTTTAAAGTGGGGCCTGGCTCTTGGCTGAAAGGCCCCGGGGCACGCTCACCTTTTCCATCTCGCGCTGAGCGGCAGGGAAGCTGGGATTCAGTGCAAGGCAATGGTGGAACTGCAGCAAGGCGTCGGACTTCTGCCCCATCTCCAGCAGCACCTTTCCTTTCCTGAAATAGCCCTGCAGAGGAGCAAAGCAAATAGGACCGAGCCATACAGATTCCCCTTCCGGATTAGTCACCAGCTGGTTGTTTTCTTTTAAAGGGAACCTCATGCTACTGAAAGGCGCGAGCTTGGCAGCCCTAGAAACCCAAGTCCTCATTATATCAGCTCAACAGGCAGCATTAATATAAGTTTGCCTACCAACGCAGACCTTGTGGAACCCCCTAAAAGAAAACCCAAATGGCCACTTCGGCTTCCCTCTGAGAAGCCCCATGAACTGAGCTATGAGTCCCATGAATGTCATAAAAAGCCGTGTGTGGTGAAATGTGAACTCCGTACTGCTGCTGTCTCCAAGAATCACAGAAATTACAGATGGAAGAGACAAGAAGGCAGCTAGTCCCGCTGAGCAGTACGGAATGTTTTGGAGGCTGTGTTTTTAACACACTGCCAACATGGGTACTGCATGATATGGCTGGTTTTCTATAGGATAGCGACCTACTACTGCTGCTGGCTCATAACTTTACTCTTTAAGCTCACACACGAGTGTTTGTTCTGTGGTGCTAAAACAGGGGTCAGCAACCTTTGAGAAGTGGCGGGCCAAGTCTTCATTAATTTAAGGTTTCACATGCCAGGAGTAAATCTTACATTTACAGGGGCCCCCGACGGAGCCCCAGACTGGCAGCGGGGTTCAACATTCAATATTTGCAACTTGTCACTTAATTTGGTTAATGTGCTTCCAAGCAAGACACACCCGATGACTGTGTAGAGAGCAAGCGCGTGAGTTCAGCATTAGCAATGGACCATGAGCCCGGCTTGGTAACCAGCTGCACCAGGGCTGCTGGAAGATGGTGGCATTCAAAGGTTGGATCCTCTGCACAATGAGCACATTTTCCCATCCACTCTCTAGATCTCTGTTGCTGCTCTCTGCAAGCTGTCCCTTTCCCAGACATCCCCCAGGGACACAGGGAAGGGCCACCATGAAAGTTTTCCAAACTATAGGCCAAGGGAGGCTAGAAGAAACCCCTTAGTGGCTATTGCATTTCCCCTGCACTGCCGGGACCTGGCTCCAAATTAAGCTGAGCTGAGGGTAAGATATTTGCATCTGGGTGGAAATTTGGCAGTTTTGGAGTCCAAAGAAAATTTGTGACACTGAAAAGAAAAATCCTCTCATCTTTCTGTATAATTTGTATTAGTACAGCCATTAAAGACATAGCACCACATGGTGCACTCCAGCCAAGCAATGCTCAGTGCAGAAAATGAGGGGACAAAGACACCTTTGTGCTCAGTCCCCAGTGTAAATTAGAGCAACTTCAAGGCTGCTGTAATTTACATCCGATTGCCCACAGCCCCCAAACCTCCAGTTCACTCCAGCCATGCTCTCTCTTTTCCTTGATGTGCCCCTGGTACACAGTGGGCTGCAAGGGAAGACAGCACAGAGCCAGCCATGCCCGTTCTTCCCATGGGGACCCACTTATGCTGAGAGTACTCCCTCATGGGGAGATCTGGCTGCCCTTGTGTAGCTGGAGAAGTATAAAGGGGCCACAACGCCACAGAGAATCCAGCCCACACTGTGCAAACACACACAGAGAAACCAGATCTCTCCAAAACCTGGGCAAGTGAGCTCAGAAAAATCAAACGGCATGAACATTTGTCACTGTCATATTATGCAAAAGGCCATGCTACTCCCTTGCTCACAGACGCTGAACGAGGGCCAAAGAAAAAGAGGTCAGCTCCACCCGTGGTGAACAAGAGCCTGTGTCATAAAGAAACCATGGGCCCATAGTCTGGCATAATCAGCCAGCTCAGTTTAAGCAGGCAGGCTGGAGACCAAGCTGCCTTTCCCCTTCAAGGTCTGGCCTGAAATCTCTAGCAGGGCGCTGGAGGTGGGAGGGAGCCATGCATATAACTCCTTTTATACTGGGCTTGTCTAGCAAATGTCCTGTTGTACCTGGCCTGTGGGGGGAAAGCCAAGAAGAAAGCACCTACTTCCAGCATTTAGTGAGCTACAGGAGATCTCACCATAGAGAAAACAACTCTATTTTGCCTGGCAACATACAAGGGAACAACAGCTGTGCCAGCGGTAACAAAAAATGGCCTGGTCCCCTTATGCCTTTGCAACACTAACTATGTAAGGGATGAACTTCCTGCCAAAAGCACCTTGAAAAACGCCATCTGATTTCCCAAGAGAAGGGATGAGGGAAGGGTTCCCACCTGTGAGCGTCTGTCCTCAAAGGCTCGATAGTTTACAGCATCACATGACAACACAGAGGCGTCGCATCGTGGTGGAGCATTGCAATGCACAAAACAAATGGTGTGCGCTTGATAGTCTAGCAAGTTAATGCTTGATCCAATGCCCATTAGAGTCAATGGAAAGAGTCTCAATTTTTATAACAGGCATGGGATCAGGCCCTAAGACTCATGGGATGCTGATCTGCCCATGAATTTCAGGAAGAGCGGCCAAAAGGCAAAGCACCCTGGAGCTGGAGGGGGGAAGAGGCTTAATGGAGAAGACCCTCTAAAACTGCAACAGCTGGAGAAGGGGAGGGATAGCTCAGTGGTTTGAGCATTGGCCTGCTAAACCCAGGGCTGTGAGTTCAATCCTTGAGGGGGCGATTTGGGGCAAAAATTGGGGATTGGTCCCGCTTTGAGCAGCGGTTGGACTAGAAGACCTCTTGAGGTCCATTCCAACCCTGATATTCTGTGAGTTCTGAGTCCCAGCGCTGAATCCTCATGCACCAGCAGATAAGTTGCTAGGTGCATCCTGTTTGATAACAGATTCAAATTTTGCTCTTAAATATTTGTAGGACCCCCTCCCCATCTCCTTTGGACAGCTCTAACTCTCTCCGGGGCAGGGAAGGGGTTCATAGAAGTGTGGCAAAACAAGATCAGGGAGATGCGTGGGGCCAAATGAAGCCCTCCGGAGAAGCGGGGAGGGAGAGCTCGCCAGCATTTTTAACCCCCTATTTAGAGTTCTAACCGTCCCAGGAATGAAATCCCCCTGTCCCTGTGAGCAGATGGCTACAGCCCCAAGCTCAAGCTCAACATTTTGCACCACATTTTGTTTCAAGGAGCCGTTGTAGCCCACAGCAAGTGCCCCATCCACCTTCTTGTAGCAGAACAAACCCACTAGCCATGCACTGACGCACCTCAAACTCTTCTGGCTCACTCCGGCACACCACCTCCAAATCCTCCAGCGCCTCTGAATACTGCTGCAGGGCCACATACACCTCCGACCGGCACAGCCTCAGCGAAACATCATCAGGAGCTGCAGGCAGAAGCCCTCAGTGCCGTTAATACAAGGTCTGCACTCAGGATCTCCTATACACGGCAAGCCGCATTCTGACCTAGTGCAAACAGGTGCAAGTCCTATGGAAATCTCCTGGACAAATGCAACTGGGAGGAAGGGGGGTGTACAACATCAGAAAACAGGTGTCAGGGGTAAGTAGTGTAACTTGCACTGACTTGGCATTGGATGAACAAGGCAAAATAAGCACAGCTTGCACATCGGAGCGCGGAGGAGAGGGTGTAGAAGGAAAGCCAGCCAACAGGATAAAACAGTTGTGACAACTGTTTTGCACACTCATTGTATGCCAAATCGGTGAGACTTGCGCTATGTTATCACATACACTTGCATTTGCATTCTGATCAACTTACGCCATGATTCTGTCACCACTAAATTCACACTGTTGGCCCTAATTATTTTTTGTTAATGACTTAATTTCAGGCCAGGATGCAGAAGAGTCCATAAGGCAATGAATATGCAGGTTAGCACTCTCAGAGTAGAATATTCACATCAGACACATGACTAAGAGATCTTATCCAGCTAACTAGATGATCCAGTCTGACGTGAGTCACAGATGTCAATATTTTATAATAGGAACTGGTAATGCAAAAGCAGGCTACGGTTAAACTAGAGTTGGTCAACAAAGCTAAAGACTCTATAATTCCAGACCTTAATTCATGAAAACTCTGAAATTTTCAAAGCTGTTTTAATTCTGCTGGGTTTCCAAATGGGCCCAGTTTTTCATTTTTGATCCACAAATATTTACAAGGATTTCTTTTATCTGCATTACTATATTCCCATGGTTTGGAAATTTCTCAAAAATGATTTTTTTTTTCAATTTTGAAATAGACACTTTTCATTTAGGGTGCACTTCTGATTTTTTGCAGAAGCCTGGCGCGTGGTGAATTGGTCCGATCCAGAGTGGTACAAGCGTCAAAAACAAAAGAAAACAAACTGAAAACTGATCAGTAAAAAATGAAAATGATACATAAAACATGAAGAAAACTGTTTTTCAACTGAAAGTTTTTGACCAGTTCTACTTACTTAGGGTATCCCAAGTAAACTACCCACCCTTAGAATAATGAATCATGTATATTATCGTAATGCCTAAGGACCAGCAAAGATTGGGGCCCCACTGTGCTTGGTGCTGTAAAAACACAGAGTAAGAGACAATCTCTCTCCCGAATAGATGAGCCAGACACAGGCTATGGGAAAAGGACAGAATAACAAGCAGAGCAACCAGTTACAAATCAGACTGCTTAGAGACAGGAAATCAGAGCTTCCATTTCATCTAGTCCCTTTCCTTGCTAATGCTGAACTGCTCCCTGGTTTTTAATCTCAGGTGCTTGGTGTAATAAGGCTGAATCACAGCCAGCATCCCTTCAGAGACTATTCAACAATCTACGAAACCTAGGGATTCCCCTTTCCCACCCCAAATATCCAGCCTTCAATTTCCCTTCATTCCAATTTATCCTGATGTACCCAATCTCTTAGCAAGACCTCAACTGAGTGGAATCTGACCATGCATATTAGAGCTGCCTTTCAAGAACAGGACCTATTGGTTCAAGGTTGGGGGGGTGAGGTGGGGAAAGGGGCTGTTCTCCAGACATCCAGGAGCAGTCTTTTGGGACACAGCTGTGCTTCTGTGGCTGGAGAAAGAATATAAATAGTCCCTGTGGTGGGCTGTTGCCATAGAAGGCCCAGGGGCGTCTGCTGTGAGTCACTGAGCGATGCTGCTGTGAGACATTCCAAAACAACATTTTGGCTGAGGACCCATAGGCTGCAGGGACACGAGACAGCCACTAGGTCCGTCTGACCAAGTGTTTGCGATTTCCATGTCAAGGAAGATGGATGGAGGAGGAATATGGAACAAAGAGAGGGAATCTGTATCCCTTATTGGCCAGATTCCCAGCTGGTGTAAATCAGCATAAATTCAATGCATCTACACCAATTTACACCTGCTGAGGTTCTGGCTCTATGTTTTCAAGTATAAATTTAGACTGAGATTCCCCAAAGCAGCCTACGGGAGCGAGGAATTCAGTTCTCAATGACAGATTAATAGCAGTTGGGCACCTTCGAAGTTCCCCGCTTTAGCACCAACGAAAGGTGCCATAGTGCCCATTCTACAGACCTCTGCTAGCTCCTGGACAGACGCTTACACTGGGCCTCATCCACTGACCTGGTGGGATCACCTCTAAGGTTTGCCTTTCTTCCAGCACTTCCACTGTGGATTCCAGGGGGACTGCTGATGTCACATGGCCACTTGTTCACTAACACCCCCAATTCTAATTTCACAGAGGTTACCGGATAAGCATAAGATGATATTACTTTCAGACCCTACTGACCTAGGCTGGATTTCAGCCGATGACTTGTAGCTAAAAGGCTCCCTGGGTCAACTGGTCATACCATATATTAATTTGCAGAGGGGGCCACCTATCCCCCAGTGTGCTGGTAATTTTCCTGGCCAAGCAGTCTGTCTATGAATATTTTCTCTCTTTCAGGTTTCAGGGTAGCAGCCGTGTTAGTCTGTATTCACAAAAAGAACAGGAGTACTTGTGGCACCTTAGAGACTAACCAATTTATTTGAGCATAAGCTTTCGTGAGCTACAGCTGAATGCATCCAATGAAGTGAGCTGTAGCTCACAAAAGCTTATGCTCAAATAAATTGGTTAGTCTCTAGGGTGCCACAAGTCCTCCTTTTCTTTTTCTCTCTTTCAGTCACTCCTCGTGAGAATGTTACATGACTGCTGATGGGTACAAGCTTAATCAATGAGAAAGCCTGGCTGTGAACCCCCTGCCTGTCTCTGTAATCCACAGCTGGCGATGCACAGCGGATTAGAGAGAGAAAATACCCCTGCACTAATTATACTGCTGGCTCTCCAGCACTGCCAGGAAGGCTCATCTCCCCGAGCACTCCAGATGCTAACTTCGGAATGTGAGGAAAGGCCAGCTCGATAACATCGCCTCCGTGTTTGCGCTGGGGAAGCCGTCACCCTGCAGGGGGTTTACTCGGGTGGGTTTCATTTGGGCTGCCCTGGTGCGTTAAAGTGAGAGCTTGACAGCAGCGACCCAGAACCAAGCTATAACAAGGGCAGGCGCGGTGCCATCCTTCTGAGTGAACAGAAACGCAGTGGCCAGGCATCCACCTCTGGAAATTCATTTGTGGACAAAGAATAGTCTTGAGAAAAGAAGACAGAGGAGGGAACTGATGACAGTCTTCATATGTGTGAAGGGCTGTTCTAAGGAGGATGGTGATCAAATGTTCTCCATGTCCACTGAAGGCAGGATAAGAAGTGATGTTAATCTGCAGCTTCAGGTTAGGTATTAGGAAAACTCTCTAACTATAAAGGTAGTTAAGTTCTGGAATAGGCATCCACGAGAGGTTGTAAAATCCCCATCATGGCAAGCTTTTAAGAATAGGTTAGAGAGGGACGGTCTGGGTTTATTTGGCCCTGCCTTAGTACAGGAAGCTGGACTTGACGACTTCTCGAGGTCCCTTCCAGTCCTACATTTTGGTGATTCTATGATTTTATGACTAAGGGGGGCAAAAATCTGCTGCTTGATGTGAGTGTTAAACTCCCACTCTAAGAAAACTCAGCCAAGGACTGCTCTGTAGCCAAAGAGGAAAAGGGCCTTGGGCTAAAATTGAGCAACAAACTGGAAACGCTTTCCAAGCAGTTATAGTAATTTTACTACAGATAAGAGATTCTAGCAAAACCGCTCTGAAGAAGACACGCTGCTGAAATGTTAGCAGCGCTCTCTTCTCCATAATAAAACAATCGTAAGCGCTCTGAACATATGCTCTGGTGGATTGCTCTGTAGAAGCCTGAGGGTGTTTGGGGTGTGCAGCGGATTTGGGCTTGGTTTGCTAGGTACGTTTCCCAAGCACACAACACTGCCAGTGTACCTGAATCCTCTGCCGTTCCAGGCCTAGGCTCTGATACAGTTCTGCCAATGAGCCGCAGTCCTGGCGGGCCGACAGCTGTGACTGTGATGGCCAATGAGACTATTTATTCATGCAAACATACCTGTCTTTACTGTAACCTTGCCCACATCCCCATGTGTCTCTTTATCCACCTGTTTCAGAGTAACAGCTGTGTCAGTCTGTATTCGCAAAAAGAAAAGGAGGACTTGTGGCACCTTAGAGACTAACCAATTTATTTGAGCATAAGCTTTCGTGAGCTACAGCTCACTTCATCGGATGCACCTGTTGTGTCTTGTCATAATCCTGGAGAATGAGCTCTCTGGAGTAGCAGTTGCCTTTCCTTACTTATCTGCTCGGTGCCTAGCACAACAGGGCTCTGATCTCTGACTGGGTCTCCTCTCCCGGGTGATAGTACTATATATATAATAGAAGGAGATGCAGCCCCTCCTCCCAATGCTAGTCTTTGAGCCAGGACTGCCAACCAAACTGAGCTGTGCAGTGTGTTTTGTTAAGAGGAGAAATGGAAACCACGGTGAAATCACAACTCATTTTTCATTTGGGGCCTGAGCGGAGCTCAGAATCCAGAGGGGAAGAGCTAGGGTGTGACTATTTTGCACTACTTCACCTGTCCCCTTCATGTGTGTGTAAAGACAGAATGCCATGGCCATTAGTATTCACAGGTTTAATGATGCCTACAGATCGTGTTTATTTGCCACGTGCACCGAGACACATGTGAACTTGAGCTTGCGGGGGAAAGTTCAAGATCTGGCTAGATGTTCTTTTTGTGAATGTTCTGTTTTACGTCTGTGGCTGTTGCCTAATGGTATTTCATAATCTTGATTGCCACTATAAGTTAAGGAGAGGTCCACGATTCCCACTGATACACTAGCTCATTGGCAAAAGTGACATAAGGCAACTGATGGATTAACAAAGCACTGCCTTTGGTTAACTGCAAAGTGCTTTTTCATTTCCCTTGAAAATAATACAATTTTTTTAAATGTTGTTTATAGACAGGCAGTATCCATGACCAAGATGGGAAGTTCTTCTGGGCAGGGATTGAATATTTTCTCTATGTTTGTACAACGCCGAGCACCAGGAGACTGGTGCAACAGCAATTCAAATGATAAGAATAAAGACAAGTTGGGGAGATGGTAAGCATAGAACCAAGAACCTTTGGAGCACACATATAGTGTAACAAGGATTTGGAACTTTGAACATTTTTCTTACATTTCTTTTGCAGGAATCCCATGATGTAAAATAAAACAGTAATGAAAATGTTAATTAACACACAGGCATGCATTTGCTTCAAGACTGTTGATCAAGCAATGGTGATGCTGAAAAGTGATGCATGCCTTTTGTTAATATGTTGGATAAAAGGATCTGCTCAGGACACAGTGAGGATTTATTAGCCATCAGCAAATTAGTTACATAGAAACACTGCATTCCCAGGTGCTGGTACTATGGTGATTAATGAATCAATGTTTGTGCCATGCACTGGAAATGCAAAACTCTAGCTAAACGCTAAGTGGTACTCAGTATTGTTCCCGTCCTAGGAGCAATCCACATTCCCTCCTATGATCAGAAAATACAGGGCCTGATCCTGCCGGCAAACTTCCCCTGGAGGTCAATCCTAAAAGAAGACTGCAGGATCCAGCCCTGGCCCTTGGAGACCTGGGAGAGTAGAGAATTAGTCAAACCTTGGCTAAGAGTCTTTGCCGTAGCTGTACTCTCCCAAGAGGCAGCGGTGACTCAGACAGGTGTAACTGTGGGTGGATACAGGGCGATGGTCTCACAACCCTGCTGATGATTTTCCATCTTCATAGCCTTTTTCCAAATGGCTCCAGCCCCTGTGACCAGCAAAGTTGAGCAAAGAACTTCCTCTGGGGCTGACACACTGCTGGATGTGAGCACTCTGCAGCTACTGGTCTTCCAACTTCTAAACCAGCTGTTCCCCTCCCATCCTCTGGGACTGACACACCGCTGGATGTGAGCACTCTGCAGCTACTGGTCTTCCAACTTCTAAACCAGCTGTTCCCCTCCCATCCTCTCATAAACTCACAGCCCCCCTCACCCCCCTGTAAATAATGGCTCCGATTCCGCTGCCATTTACACACATGAAACCCTTTGGACTAGTGGCTGACAGCAGAATTTGCCCCAGCAACTGTACCCCTCGCCCTGCTGAAGAAGATGCCCCTGAAGGAAGAGCAATGACTGCTCACACGCCTGGAGGGAAGCTATATACGTGCCGGTGAATAACGTAAACAGGGCGCAGGGCTTGCAAAAGAGAATATCGGCAACTGCATGACAAGCAGAGGGCTGTCGCTATCTGAACTTTGGAGCTTTGGTACAGATGATAATAAAAGTGCCCTTTTGAAAGTCCTGCGGGGTGGGGTTGGGAGGAATTAAGCCCTTCATCTGCGCAAGCCTGGTGAAAATGAGGTTGGCTTCAGCTGCATCCGTCGGTGACACCGGGCGAAGTCACAGCGTCGTGCGCGGAGCTCTGAGGGTGGGGTTCCCATCTCAGCTAATAAAGTGGATCTTTATTGACAGGAAACTGATAACGAGAGAGACGGTGCCGCCTCAGAAGCAGGCGCGCCTGGCGAGAAGTTACATAACCAGGAACGGGTGGGGGTTCGCTTTGTTTGGGTGCCTGGATCCAGGCGTTGACCAGCCTCCCTCCCCACCACCCCCAGACCCTTGACCCCCCGCCACGCTTACCCAGTTCGAGCCCCTTCTGGGTTGCCCTCAGGGCGGCCCTGTAGTCGCGGCTCCTGAGCAGATCTTGCAGGTGGCTTTGCAGCCGGGCCAGCTTGGTGTCCCGGTCCAGGCACTTCTCCAGCAGGCTGCCCAGCAGGACGTTGCCCTGAACAGCCCTCAAGCCCAGGAGTTTCAACCTCCCCCGGCACAGAAGGCAGCGGGAGGGCAGCGCGTCGCCCAGGCACCGCTTGCAGAAAGAGTGGCCGCAGGAGACGGTCACCGGGTCCCACAGGACAAACCGACAAGCGGGGCAGAGGAAAACTTCCATCGCGGGGAGCTACCGCGACCTTCCCGGGGCAGCGGCGCGCCGCATGGGCGGGCGCCGGGGGATGCGCCCCTGGAGCGGGGGACACTGCGCCCCGGCAAGCAGGGGAGACGGGGAGCGGGGCTGCGCCCCTAAACAAGGCGAGGGGCGCAGCTCTGTCCTGGCTTCTCCTTCCCCTGGCTGCCCGGGACCCGCGCAGGTTGCTCGGGGTGGCCCCTGTCTCCTGCCCCCAGCGCTTTCCTCCGACGCCTGCCTCCTTCTCCGGCTCGCCGGCCGCCCAGCCCCTGCCCGGGCTCAGCGCCGCGCCGGGGGGGCTGCTGCTGCGGGACCCATCCGGATGCACCCAAGGACCCTCCCACGCCCCTTACCCCATCCCCGCCCGCCGCGCCTGGCTGGCGTGCACCCCCTGGGGGCAGCGGGGCTCGCTCGGGCTCCCCGCGGGTGACACCCCCTCCGCGCTTTTCCTTCCCCCTTCCTGCGTGCCGGGGTCCCCGCCTCCGACCCGCTCTGACCAAGCAGCAGGTTTCCCCGGATCTCCCCTTTCGCATCCCTTCTGCTGCCCTGCCTGGGGGAGGAGGCTGCTCCTCCCACCCTCCTCTTCCCCGGGAGGAAGGCAGAGGGGGGCCAGGTGGGTGCAGCCACTTCCCCGGGGCTGGAGCAGCCCGGCTCCATCCCCGAGGAGCGATTTGTCGGGGGGGGGGGGGTTGCCGCCCCCCTTGCAAACGCTTTTGTTGCTTGCACAAAACTACATTACGTAAAATCTAGAGCAGCCCCCATGTGATGCGGCTCCGACGCCTGCCCATTGGCGACCGGCTCAGGCCCGCCCCTGTTGTGAAACGAACCTTGCAGGCGGCGTTTCATAACCTGCTCCGAAGTCGGCAGTTTAAAGAGACAAGACAGACAGAGGGTGGGAGAAAATATGCTTTCCATTATCCCTGTTAGCCCGATGGGAAAGTGACACCCAGGGAGATCAAGAGCTTTCCCCCAGGCCACACACGAATCCACACCACAGCTGGGAACTGAATCCAGATCATACCAGTCCAGTTCTGTAGTCATAAAACCACCCTTCCCCTCCACTGGAATGCAATTAGAAATGTACAGATCCATAGTCACATGCCATTTTTTTCATATACATTCATGCGTCTCTGTGTGGGGCGTGAAGGCGATATGGTATTCTGGCTAGCCCGGAGAACTATTCATCTAGCCTTCTGTCGTTCCGCAGTACAATGACGTGGCAAAGGCCGTTTTATATAATGCATTCCTGGGGAAATGAGGGCACCCTATTAACTTTATTGTACTCTCTGCGGCTCGGCAAGTCGTACATTATATAAAGTATGTTTGCATATCCAACCTGCTTGGAGGAGGAGGTTTGTCTGTTCCTTGCGGGCTCCCTGAGTTAAAAAAAAAAAAAGACTAAGCAAACGAATAGAAAGCATGAGTAAAGGTGCGGAAGCCTCCACCTGTTCCCAAGGCAGAAAAAGGGGGGCTCTAGGCACTGGCTGAATTAGATGCAGCCATTGCGGACCGGTAATGGGTTGCAAGGGCATGGAACTTGCTCGCCAGATCTCCTGTCTGGATGTGTGTGATGCACGTGTTTTATACCTGGGTGGACTGTGCCCTTCGGCATTTCAAGTTACACTTCGCGTGGAGCACAAAGGGGCGAGGAGACGTTGTTATAATTTCAACCCGAAGAGTGGGGACAGTATTCAGTCCCCCTGGCAACAGACAGCCGCACACGGGTCCTTTACGCTGGTCGGGGGCTAGAACAGCAAACAGCGCTAGAAAAGCAAAGCCTTTCGGTAAAGGTCAGATATTCGGTATCGGCGACCCATGCTGCTCCATCTATCGGCTAGTCCTAAGAGCAGGGGTAACTACTGAGAATATAAGAACCTTAAGCTCAAGGTATTTTTTCAGCTGCATTTGTTCCCCCCACTAGGCATGTTTGGGGACCGCATGTGGGGTGGGAAATTCAACTGTCTTCCCTAATATTGACCTGCCCCGGTCAATAGTCCCCACCTTTGAATGCATAAGGAAATATATCCCTGATCACCAAGAGTGGCAGGTCCTGCTCTCTGGATCCAGGGCTACTTAGCCCCATCTCTCATGACACTGCTGTTGCTGGCGATGTCAGCGGTAGTCCCACACCTAAGGCTGTGCCCAGGGTTTGAATGGAAGATCTGTTACTAAAGAACCTCCCCTTCTGCTCACTCCTTCATTTAGCAAGAGGGACCTTATTTCAGGAGTTGTCAGCACATGCTCGGAGTGGGGGTTGAATTGAGAGTGATCTATGGGGTATGGGAATACTGTGCCCATTGCTGAAATAACTAGTGATGGACTGGAGAAAGAGGGAAGGGGAGTTCCTTTGGTTAACTGTTTGTCATTCAACCCTGAGCGCAGCCGCAGGTGTGGGGCTAGTCATAGCTTTGAAGCAGGCCTGCGGGATGATTTGGGCTAATTTTTGCTGTTGGTTACAACCTAATAAATAGGGTCATATGCATAAAACCCACCAAAACCATAGTTTAGCTGGACCCATCATGTTTGGCTTGTACCCTGTGCAGTCAGTAATACTTCCTCTCTCAGGGAGATCTTCTCCATGTGGAAAGGGTCCCTTTAAAAATTTCTGCATCTGGCCCAGTGTCCTTCACAGCTGATTTCTTCCTGCTGGTCGAGGATTGGACAGCAGGGCAATTACCCAGAACTCACACCATTCATTGCTGCTGAGAAGTTTTGTTTCCATTTCCCCTAACCCCACGCTGGACGGTTTTTTCTTCATACCATAGAAAGCCAAATGCAGCCACTTTCCTGACATGAAATTCCTGTTCCTTTCATTGACTTTTTTCGCCTGAAAGTTTAAAAACCACCTTAAATACCCAGCAGTGATCATGTTGTCATTAACCAACTGAGTGAGAACTTCCTGTTTTGCACAGTGGGTTACACAATACAAATTACATTGATTTACTAGGTGATACTTGCAAAGCACAGCAGGAATTTTAATATGGTGCACAGCCCAGAGCCAGTTTAGGGTAGAGAACTCTGCGTGATCATTACCAACCATCTTAACTGACTCCTTTCCCCCCAGATGTTGTCCACCCAATCAGTATGTGCACAGGCTATTATCCTGGATAACATGTTCCACATTTTTCAGAGTAGCAGCCTTGTTAGTCTGTATTCACAAAAAGAAAAGGAGGACATCTCTTCGGGAAGAGATGGCCAGCCCTCTGTGGAGATAGAGGTGGTTAGGGACTATTTAGAAAAGCTGGACGTGCACAAGTCCATGGGGCCGGACGAGTTGCATCCGAGAGTGCTGAAGGAATTGGCGGCTGTGATTGCAGAGCCATTGGCCATTATCTTTGAAAACTCGTGGCGAACTGGGGAAGTCCCGGATGACTGGAAAAAGGCTAATGTAGTGCCAATCTTTAAAAAAGGGAAGAAGGAGGATCCTGGGAACTACAGGCCAGTCAGCCTCACCTCAGTCCCTGGAAAAATCATGGAGCAGGTCCTCAAAGAATCAATCCTGAAGCACTTGCATGAGAGGAAAGTGATCAGGAACAGCCAGCATGGATTCACCAAGGGAAGGTCATGCCTGACTAATCTAATCGCCTTTTATGATGAGATTATTGGTTCTGTGGATGAAGGGAAAGCAGTGGATGTATTGTTTCTTGACTTTAGCAAAGCTTTTGACACGGTCTCCCACAGTATTCTTGTCAGCAAGTTAAGGAAGTATGGGCTGGATGAATGCACTATAAGGTGGGTAGAAAGCTGGCTAGATTGTCGGGCTCAACGGGTAGTGATCAATGGCTCCATGTCTAGTTGGCAGCCGGTATCAAGTGGAGTGCCCCAAGGGTCGGTCCTGGGGCCGGTTTTGTTCAATATCTTCATAAATGATCTGGAGGATGGTGTGGATTGCACTCTCAGCAAATTTGCGGATGATACTAAACTGGGAGGAGTGGTAGATACGCTGGAGGGGAGGGATAGGATACAGAAGGACCTAGACAAATTGGAGGATTGGGCCAAAAGAAATCTGATGAGGTTCAATAAGGATAAGTGCAGGGTCCTGCACTTAGGACGGAAGAACCCAATGCACCGCTACAGACTAGGGACCGAATGGCTAGGCAGCAGTTCTGCGGAAAAGGACCTAGGGGTGACAGTGGACGAGAAGCTGGATATGAGTCAGCAGTGTGCCCTTGTTGCCAAGAAGGCCAATGGCATTTTGGGATGTATAAGTAGGGGCATAGCGAGCAGATCGAGGGACGTGATCGTTCCCCTCTATTCGACATTGGTGAGGCCTCATCTGGAGTACTGTGTCCAGTTTTGGGCCCCACACTACAAGAAGGATGTGGATAAATTGGAGAGAGTCCAGTGAAGGGCAACAAAAATGATTAGGGGTCTGGAACACATGACTTATGAGGAGAGGCTGAGGGAGCTGGGATTGTTTAGCCTGCAGAAGAGAAGAATGAGGGGGGATTTGATAGCTGCTTTCAACTACCTGAAAGGGGGTTCCAAAGAGGATGGCTCTAGACTGTTCTCAGGTAGCAGATGACAGAACGAGGAGTAATGGTCTCAAGTTGCAGTGGGGGAGGTTTAAATTGGATATTAGGAAAAACTTTTTCACTAAGAGGGTGGTGAAACACTGGAATGCGTTACCTAGGGAGGTGGTAGAATCTCCTTCCTTAGAGGTTTTTAAGGTCAGGCTTGACAAAGCCCTGGCTGGGATGATTTAACTGGGAATTGGTCCTGCTTCGAGCAGGGGGTTGGACTAGATGACCTTCTGGGGTCCCTTCCAACCCTGATATTCTATGATTCTATGACATGTGGCACCTTAGAGACTAACCAATTTATTTGAGCACAAGCTTTCATGAGCATCCGATGAAGTGAGCTGTAGCTCAGGAAAGCTTATGCTCAAAGAAATTGGTTAGTCTCTAAGGTGCCACAAGTCCTCATGTTCCACATTGTTCACTGGTGCGGCATTGGAGTCAACGGAGTGACACCAGGGAGGAATTTGGCCCCTATGTGTGTACGTGAAATCTGATATCACAACTGGCTGTAGATATTTAACAAGCTCATGATTAAGAGGAATGAGGGCAGAGGTGAATTTAGCAGCACAAAGCTAAAGGCACTGCCTGTGAAGGTAGATGTCATAGGATGTCTGCAGTGAGCACCTTGGACTGCTAAATAGGTGTATACTAAACTGGAATAGGTAATATAGAAATAAATTTTCAGTCACTTTTTAGGAAAGCAGATCCCTATTTCTGTATCTCTATTCAGCAAATAAACTATAGGATCGATCTATCTATCCACACACCCACCCCTACCTATCTCGCTAAATATCTAGCTATCCCCCCACACACCCCTATCTATTTACCTGTCATCTTGTGTG